TTGTGACCCACGTAAGATTTTCGAAAAGCATATATTTTCTTTAAATGCTGCCACATGAAAAAAGATTTTTTAATTTATTTTATATTTTATGGTTTAGCAGTGTTTTTATATCCCAAGTACTGTACCGCGTGCCTCTTCGCGGACGTGTAACGAACACAATCGTCCTCCACCACTATGAGAAACTGCACTGATTATGCGCATCACACTTCACGCAGGCCACATCTCCCACTGCTTACCATCCGTCGCCAGCCGCCACCGTGCCAATGTGTCTACTGACACGTAGGCTAGTCGGCTAATCTATTACGTTGCTAGTGAACAGTGAACTTATTAATTCTTTGTCTTGATTCCTCTTGTACAATAATGAGTGCAAAACCAGTAAAACGGAAAATTTGATAGTGAGAACAGAATTTCATGCATAGTGCATGAAAATAAGTATGCTACGTACACAATGAAAGTCGGCGTGCCCTAGTTGCAGATTTGAAGAAAAAGCTTAAAACGCAAACTGGTATGTTCAGTAAAATATTACACTCTCACACGCATTCTTTGCATGCATCTTATGCCGTGTCGCTTGAGCTGGCAAAGGCAAAAAACCTTTCACTGATGGCAATTTGATAAAAAAATGTGCTGTTGAAATGGCCAAAGCTTTCGGTGATTCTAAAATGGCGGAGAAATTTGAATCAGTGCCACTTTCACATCAAAGCATACAAAGAAGGATTGTTGCTATGGGTGAGCAAGTAGAAAAATCTATGCTTAGCCTGGTTAAGAAAAGTTCATATTTCTCACTTTGTTTGGATGAAAGCACTGATCAAACCGATGTTAGTCAGCTGTTAATATTTGTGCGCACTACTTTTGATGATTTTACCAGTAAAGAGGAGTTATTTGGTATTTGTCCTCTTTATGGAACAACAAAAGGAAAAGACATACTATGAGGCTGTGAAGAAAACAGTTGACAGAATTCGAGGCTTTGATAAATGTTCAGCCATAGCAACAGACGGGGCCCCATCAATGACAGGTAAAAAAATTGGATTAGTGTCAATGTCAATGTTCGGAAGCACATATACATGTGAAAGTGCCTTTTCCTCCATGAAATACATAAAAAATAAAAACAGAAGCAACCTTAACCGATTCTTCCTTACGTCATCTTTTGAGAGTGTCTACAACTGAACTGGAGGTGGACATTTCTTCATTGGTGGATGAAGCCGATCGACCACAGCCCTCACACTATTTGGATACTTTTTCGTTGCTTTTGCAATGTGTTATCAATAAATTTTCAGTTTATAAAAAAATGTAGTTGTTGAGCAATAAAAGAAATAATACTTTTTTTTGTTTTAATTATTTCTATACTTCACTGTATTTTGTTATTGTAACAAAATTATTATATGGCCCGCGACAACATCAAAGGTTTTAGTTTTGGCCCTTGAGGCATTGCAAGTTGGACACCCCTGTCTACAAGGTATACATCGCGAACTAGCTGTTTTTTGGATGTCTAAATATAAATAATTCAAGATAAATCAGACAACGTGATAAGTTAATGGAATGTTGACTGAGCTGAGTATAAGGAAGCTACGAAGACAGTCGAAATTTTTACGAATGAAAGAGCACAATAAGCATCGAAGTGTGTATCGTGCAAGGTAATCTAGATTATAAAGAATTATCTAGGACACCGGTGCAAAAGAGGCTCGAAGGTTCCGTTGCTCAGTCTGGTAGATTATGGGCGGGGTTCGTTCGTAGAGATAGAAATAGTATGACGAGATATATATATAGATATAATATATATAATAAATAAACGACAAAAAAGAAACAGGAAAGAGAACAGTCTTTTTTAAAGAAAAAGGGCACCACTGTTTTTAAATGTTTAAATTCTAAAAAAAACAGAATGGTGTAACAAAAAAGAGAAAAGCAGATATCATATAAAACTTGTAAGATCCACTAAATCAAGCTATATTAAAAAAAAAACAGTAGACTCCCTCTAAAACGAAATCTGAAATGACAGACTAATTACCTCGTTATATGTAGTAATATGTAGTTTTTTAAACATTAACTTCCTATAGTGAAGCCATTCGGAGCAATATAAGATGCTAAATATTGTTTGAATGGCGTTTTTGAAAAAAAAAGTTATTACTTTTATTGTCAATGAAATACATTACAAAAAAGAGTTGTTTACTTTTATTGTCAATGATATACGTTTAAAAAAATCTGCACTTTGCGTATTTTCAAGGATTACATAAACTATTGCTTCTGTAATTGGAAGAAGTCTGTCATTTTTGACTGCTTTAAATTGTCCAGTATTATTCTATCTATCATATTTTCTAAAGATGTGAAACAGTTGTATTTATTGTAAAGACGTTTGTTGCGGGCGGCAGTTAAGTATATTGGGAGCGGCAGTTAAAAAAGGTATTTATTTATAGCCACGGCCGGGCCAAAAACGTAAAAAACACGTTTTTCGATCTTATTTTCTCTAGTTATAACCAAATTTACCTCGCTATAGAGGGTTATAGTTCAATAAAAATTTCACGGGACATCTAATGTACCTCGTTATAAGCGTAACCTCGTAATAACCGTGTTCGTTATAGATACTGTATAATACACTCACCGGCACGAAAAACGGAGCACTTGCATTTTTAAAATAAAAACTTAAAAATTTTAATTCTTTTTAATCTTTTATTTTTTAATCTTTTAAAATAAGCACATAAAATATTCAGATATACTCATCAAATATCATACCAAATGATATCCCAGCAAATAATCAAATAACATAATCAGACTACGTGATCAGGTAGAATAGTCAAATATCACATCAATTAACAGATAAATATCATACTTGGTAAATGGAAATAATCAAATCCGTATATCACTTATCCATAAATTTATATCAAATAATATAATGAAACATGAGGACTAGCCTAATGTCTTCTATATAATGGATTAACTGTGCAAATAAAACAAAACATTATATTAAAAAGGATATATACGTAAAACAGATTTAAAAAAATTACTCATTCGTTAATCCATTGTGGTTTAGAGCGACCTGTACTAAAATAATTATGAATTAAAATTATGTAAAATACGAGGATAGATTGATATTAAACTAGCCTTTGATAGATGGCGCTACTTGATACCGAATTGGTTTCTGTGTTGACATTTGCCGTTCATGACATGACGTCTGTCAAAATTTTAAGTTTTAAAAACAATTAAGTGTACACCTACATTGGAACCGTATTTCTCCCGATCCGATATCGGGCGACGTCGCCCGACGTCGGATTGAAAACAAACTCAAGGTATTAAATGATAGTGCCTACACTGCTTCCATGACGAAGCAGTATAGGCACTCTGATTTAATACCTTGAGTTTGTTTTTAATCCGACGTCGGCCGACGTCGCTATACATCGGATCGGGAGAAATACGGTTCCAATGTAGGTGTACACTAATTTGGTTTTTACAGCCGTTAAAAACAAGCGAATTTTGTGTTTTCGGAGAAATGGAAAAAGTCGAGTATCGTTCGGTGATTAAGTTCCTCCGCAAAAAGAGTAAAACGAATGTGCAAATCAAAGCCAGACGAAGTTTATGGTTTGCACCTTTGTTAGCAACAGTAAAATTTTGGAAGGCTGAATTTGTTCGTGGTCGTACGAGTGTTTCTGATGATGAGCGTCCCGGGAGGCCAATTGAAGTCACCACGCCGGAAATGATCAACAAAGTCATGATTATGGCAGATCGTCGAATTAAGCTTCGCGAGTTAATAGATGTCCTAAACGTTTCCTACGACGTACACAACATTATTCACTATCATTTGGACATGAAAAAGCTATCCGCGCGATGTGTGCAGCGTTTGCTGACAATCGATCAAATGCAAAAACGTGTGACCACTTCGAAGGATTTTTTTCGCCGATTTATCACCGTTGATGAAACCTGGGTGCATTATTACACACCGGAAACCAAAGAACAGTCGAAACAGTGACGCAAACGTGGTGAATGACCGCCGCAGAAGGCAAAGAGTGCACATTCGGCCGGCAAAGTGATGAAGACTGTTTTCTGGAATGCGAAGGGCATAATCCACATCGACTAACTTAAAAAAGGAAAAACAATCAATGGTGCGTACTACGCAGCATTATTGGACCGATTCGATGCCGAATTGCGTCGAAAAAAACCCGGTTTGGAACGCAAAAAGTGCTCTTTTACCAAGACAATGCACCGGCTCACCGATCGGCCGAATTACAACGACGAATAACACTTGTTTAGGTGGCGTATGGTTCACTAAAAGACATCTTTAAGAGCAATATCCCGGTAGCTATGAAACGGAAAACATTTGACCAATGCGTTCTTCCTATTATGACATACGGAGCAGAAACACTCACTCTCACAAAAACAACAGCACTAAAAATGCGAGTGGCACAAAGGCGCATGGACAGATCGATTCTGGCGTGACAAAAAACACAAAATAAGGAACCAAGACCTAAGGAAAAGAACAGGTATCACTGATGTCGAACGTATAGCCAGGTCACAAAGCGAGACTAAAAGACTCAAGATGGACCAGAAAACTAATTGACTGGCGACCAAGAGAAGACAAACCTAGCAGAGGACTATCATCAACGCGCTGGATGGATGACATTAAACGAATATCCAAAATACTTAAACCTTATATTCTAAAATTGCTATCTTTGGTCTATTAACATTAATCGTTTATGAGAATTCCTCTATTGTTTTATTATTAACATACAAATATCTATTCTCCTATCTGCCTACTTTCTACTAAATTCGAAAAACCATTACTCATTAAAATATTTGAAATAGGGTGAAACGACTTTAGCGGTCGGTGAATTAAATTTTTTATTAGATTTTAATAAATTTAAACCATGACAATATATATATATATATATATATATATATATATATATATAATATATATATATATATATATATATATAATATACATTTATTTATATTTAAATTCATTATATAAAAAACTTCTAAATTTTTAATATTTCTGTATGTTTTTGTTTTAGACTTATAAAGCTGGCATTGTTATATTTAGACAAATTGATAACTTGAATCCAGTGGACACAAATGTAAAAGAAAATGCGAATAGAAGTGCACAATTGATAAAGTCATATAAAAATCAGGTAAGATCTTATCGCAGTTATTTAAGAAACAGAAAAGTTTTACTTTAAATTGTAAAAATACCTAAGACATCTACAATATTTGATTTTGATTCATATTATGCTTCAATAGGGATATGAATTAAAATCTTATACAAGTTAATTATTTCTTTTGGACTTCGTTTAGGATGTCTTTGTTTGGCTCCATTCCTCCTTTTATCTCATCATTCCGGATTCTACCCATCCTTCTCAATCGACAATTTATTTTCATAAAGTCCATTCCAGTAGCCTGTAATTTTTTATTATTTATTTTACTAATATCTCATACTTCTGCTCTGTTTGTTACTACTGGCTCTACCATTGCCATATACAGTAGAGTCTCAGTTATCCGCTATAAACGGGCAGACGGGAGGGCGGATAATAGGGACGGTTAAACGAAATCTAAGTGTAGGCCTATTGTAATTACATTGCAATAGCAATTATCATCCAACGACGCATCTTTACATCCAGGGATAAATTTAACTAAGGCCAAAATATTCACCTGAGCTTCATCCTGAATATTATCTGGTGTTTCTTCATCCTCACCCAACAGCTTATCCCAAGACTTAACAATTGTTTGTTCCCAACCTTATCCCATGCACTTCAGATTCAGTAGGAAACGTATTTCAAATTTATGGCATTCAATGTAGGGCTTAAGTCTTGGCCATCGTTCATTTCTTGTATCATGGTTGATAGAAGTATTCTCCGATAGTTTCTTTTCAGCGTCTCCAAGACAACATGGCCTTTATATCCCAATCTTTATGTTAGAATAGAGTAAGAAACCTTCTCTTCAAAGTTTGATGACAATTTTTGACCGTAAATAGACAGCTGACGAATTCCGTAGCGCTTCTTCCAGCGGTCTAGCCAGCTGATACTTACTGTAAAATCTGCCCCACTCCCTTGAAATTCCTTTCCTTCCTATTTTCCAATACCTTTTCTTTTAAGATAGGCCCGGATGTAGGCACTGCTTTATCGCTAAATTGGACAAACCAAATGTACAAAGCCACGCTATTTTTTTCGTAATCCTCACCCGCGTCCCCGAGAAAAAACTTGATGAAGAAACTATCAGGACCCGTCTAAAGAGGCAAAATCAAGACCTTAAAACATAAGACTGGTTGTGATCTCTGTTCCACAGACTGAACGACAGTAAAGATAAAGGTTATAGAGGAAGGAGTTATGAAGGAGATAGTTCTCAGATCAGCATACCTCCCATATGATGATCCCGAACAACCATCAAGGGAGTTGGAACAGTTAGTGAGAGATTGCATGAAAAATGAACTGCAATTAATCATTGGCAATGATATGAATGCCCTACCATCGGACCTGGGGCAGTACAAATACCAAACTGTTAAAAAATGGCATGTTTTAGATGACGTGTCTTGTTCAGACCATCGAGACAGGCGATGAGCATATCAAGGAAACTTATCATAATCCTCGTAAAACAAATTGGGAAGCATATCAAGCAGACCTGGAATATTGTTTAGGTAAGATTAAAGGGACGATAAGGCATACATTGAACGTAGACATGGCCGCCGTACAATTTCATTGTCATGTCAGCGCTTAAGATAACTGTCTTATATAGTGAGGAATTTCAACGGAAAGTACCCTTTCCCACTTCCGCTTAACTACATCTTTCATGATGGTTTTAAGCCGACGGCCACGGTTTGACTTTATGCAGTCACAACCGTGACCTGAATCGTCCATTTGAACTGTCCTTCTATATGCGTCTATATTCTTTGCTTTTATGTTAAGTTTTATTTGCTGTTTGGTACAATTATTTTTCATGAAGGTTTTTTCAAAAACAGTATAAGAGAAACACTAGTTGAAACTTTGTTTTTTTTTTCATTTTAGGCGGATATATTTGTCCTTCCAGAATATGGTCTCACGACTGTACCACCCGCAACGTTGACAAATTTATATCAATACAGTACTACAATTGGTGAAGTCGGCGATAAAGTATGTGGCAAGGACGGATTTGATGTAAGTTGTTTATACATTTAACCTAGGTTTTAGTTTAATCATATCGATAAAATGAAAAATTATCACAAACACATTTTTCACATTATTATATGTAAGATATATTAGAGTTACTAAAAAGATAATAAAGAAAAGAGGTTCCAGGTAGAAAGATATGTAGAATTTTATGAAAACACGCAATGAATCTTTTATTAATAATGGAAAGAATAAAAAGTGGCAGAACCAAAAAATCGAGGAGTTTCTTCATCTTAAGGTGTCGTTTTGCGCAGCCATGACATTCGTCTTCTTCCAACGCGTCGCTTTCCTAAAATATTTACCTGCATGACATTCTGCAGAAGCTGGTAGTTTCTTCCTCTGCAATTAACACGGTGTCATCCGCATACCTCGTGATATTAATAGGGATTCCGTTTACTGCAAATTCATGTTTTGTTTGTCCAGTACTTCTTGCATAATAATTTCCGAGTACAAGTTAAATAGTAATGGAGAGAGAATGAAACCTTCCGTACCGATTTTTTTTAAATTAAAGTGTCTAGGCAACTATGGGCCATTGACACTGGTACAAAGTTTATTACAATATGTTTATGTTTACATACATATACAATCTGTTTATATACAAGTTGGGATACATTAACGACACTCTTAATATAATTACACTAAGTAGTAAAGGTGACAGTCTTTTAGGAAACGAATTATGGCACTGTACATGTTTGTAGAACCGAGTAGATCACTTAAATTATTTGAAAGTTGTAGTAGTCTCTTTGAGGTTTGTAGTGGACACATTCTAGTAATATGTGCTGGACTGTTAAGGACTCATTACAGTGTTCACAGCGAGGATGGTTTTCAGAAGACATCAGATATCCATGACTAAGACGAGTGTGACCTATTCCGAGCCTTCTGATAATAATATTGTCTTTTCTGCTCATTTGAGGCATGGTGATGGAGGTAACAGTTGGTTGAATTGTGCGTAGTTTTGTATTTTGCACGTTCCAGTGTGTTTGCCAAGTGCTTAGTAAATTGTTCTTGATACTGGTCTTTAGGTCTTGGTGAAGTTGTATGTTTTCCATATTTTCTAAGGAGCAGGTCAGTTTTGCTGCATGATCAGCGTTCTCATTTCCGTTGATACCAACACGGGATGGTATCCCGTTACTGAACAAAAGAGATAGTTACTGAAACACCATTTTTTGACTGTTGTTGGCAGATACTGTGGATGCACTGTAGAATGGGATGTATGGAGTATATATTTCTGATTGAGTCAATGGTGGAGAGAAAAATCGGTGCATGGCGAATTGAGCAATGGGCGAATCTAATGCCTTGAGTATTCCGTACAGTTCGGCTGGGTGTATACTGCATCTTGGAGAAAGCCGATGTGACGCTACTATTGTGTTTGAGGTACTGACGGCACAACCGACGGCCTGTTCTTCTTTGGAGGCATCTGTGTAGAGAATTTTGTCATAACGCTGTGTGTGTATAAGTTCCTCAAACGCTTGTATAAAGAGAGTTCTGGGCGTTGCTTCTTTTTTGTATCGGTTCAAGCTGTGTCTTTTAGCAAAGTTTTTAAAATTTGTGAGAGAGAATGTGCTCGAGGGTGACTATTATCTGGGACAGGGTGGGGAGTATTAATTAGTTTAATTACTGGGTTTTTTGGATTAGCAGAAATTCTAGAGGAGTAAGACAGAAGTAGACGTTGCCGTCTTATAAAAAGTGGAGGTTCTGAAGATTCGATATAAAGACTTTCAGAAGGACTTGAATTTAAAGGCGCCGAGGCTAATGCGTAAAGAAGTGTTGTGAATTGTATTCAGACTTTTAAGGAAAGTATTGGAAGCAGATATGTAGAGAATGCTTCCGTAATCCAACCTACAGCGGATCAATGTTCTGTAAATTCTTAAGATTACTTTTTCTTCTACCCCCCATTAATGGTGAGCTAGAGTTTTTAAGATATTGATTCTATTTAGGCAGTTTTTTTTGTATTCTGTATCTGATCTCTCCATGTAAGTGTTTTATCGAGTATGACTCCTAATAATTTGTGTTTGTCAACCACTTGAAGAGGAGATCCATTTAGGTGAAGTATTATCTATTTTTATCTATGCTAGCTGGTTGTAATAAAAGTTTTCAATTATTCTTATATTTCGCTATTAGCTTTTGTTTCAAAATTGCCATGAGTTGGTCGTGCCTTACCGTGGCAAACGCCTTTTTAAAAGTCTATAAAGCAGACAGACACATCTTTATCTACGTCCAATCAAACAGAATAAAATCCACAAGGAATCTACGTGCCTGTAGTTGGCTATATACCATATATTAAAAAAATATATTAAATATCCTTTATAAAATCCTTTATACAAGCTATATATTTAAAAACCCAATCGGGCTATGTTACACAAAACGTTTTTGGAATCCATATTCCATCCATCATCAGTGTCTAGGTGTACATGAGCTACTAGGCCACTAAATAGGTGGGTAAAACCCCGTTAAAAATTATTTATTTAAATTTAGTTTACATTATTTGTTATTTATTATTAGGATGTTATAAAGTTATACCGTTAGATTTGGTAACATGGCGATCTATAACTTCACGTGAAGTTGCTAGTCCTGAGACGGTGTGTCTACGAGGACTTTAGTTGCTGAGCTTGCTTTCATAGTCCTCGTAGACACACCGTCTCAGGACTAGCAACTTCACGTGGAGTCATATGTCGCCATGTTACCAAATCTAACGGTAACTTTAACATCCTAATAATAAATAACAAATAATGTAAACTAAATTTAAACAAATAATTTTTAACGGGTTTTTACCCACATATTTAGTGGCTACATACATGTATACCTAGACACTGATGATGGAATATGGATTCCGAAAACGTTTTGTGTAACAGCCCGATTTGGTTTTTAAATATATACCTTTTATAAAGGATTTTTAATAAACAGAATAAAAATCCCCCACGGTCCCCACTTCATTTTTGTAAATATGGTTGTGTATAATTTTTAAAACAGATTTCAGTGTATGGTTCTAACTTATTGTTCTATGATTGATTAAGTAGGACGTGTTGAAATTAGCTGGTTAATTAATTAAAATAGCAAACAATAAATAAAAGATATATTTGATTGAAAATAAGAAAAAACACTTGGCGTAACTAATAAATTGCTATCGATTCAAGAAAAACTCACTTACCTCTTCATACGGTATACGACAGAAAGATGAATGGCCGCGTCTTGTCAAAGTTCCTGCGTCTTTATGCTATAGAGGAGGATGACCGCGATAGGCGCGTTCAACGGGGGAAGCGGCATCTTGGACGCTAAATTGTAGATCTGCTCATCTCGAGAGCTATTTAACTACTACTGCAGTTTCTTGTCCGAATTTTAGGTACGAACCCCCGTATAGTCGCCTCGTATTTCGGCAAGACTGTGTAAAAATATATTTATCTGTAATAAAAGCAGGCATTAAAAATTAAAATAAAAGTACTCTACCAGGAGTAGTTATTAACTGCAAAATTATCAATGACAGATGTATAATAATACAAAGTTTTAATATTATCATCGATATTTACATTCAACTGTGCCTGGTAATATGTTTGAAAATATGGGCAGTCACCCAGTTGAAGTTGAAGTGGACCAAGAGCCAGTGAAAACATCGGATATCGCTATTATTTGAGAAGGCAAATAATAGCGATAAATTTATTTGAGAAGGCAAATAATAGCGATAAATTTATTTGAGAAGGCAAAATCATAATTGTATACGTAACTATAGTCGGACAATTTTCAATTAAAGGTGACTAATCTACAAATTGAACTAAACGGTAGCGACAACCATCTAAAATTTCAGCAGTAAATTCTTACTAACTTACTTAAAAATTTGCCCCCGTAACAATATAAATTGGTGCGATTCACTGGTGTACAGTGAGACAAGTTCATTGAATAGTTTGAAACATTGCTAAACATCAATATTTGGCTGGTCTAAATATATTTACGTTCTTAGAAAGAATGGGAATGAGAGAAATATGATATTTTAGTTTATTCGTTCCACATTATATGTGTGCATTAAAAATTATTTGTTTAAATTTAGTTTACATTATTTGTTATTTATTATTAGGATGTTAAAGTTACCGTTAGATTTGGTAACATGGCGACATTTGACTCCACGTGAAGTTGCTTTATGAAAGCAACCTCAGCAACTAATGTTCTATTTCTTGGGAATATATTTATTAAACAGACTTTATTATTAACTTTAAAATAGTTTTGAGGTAAGTAAAGTAAATTTGAGGCAAGTTTATTCTTAATATAGTATTCACCCATTAACGGCCGCTCAATATACAAAAAGAAATTTGACAATTAATTTATTAGATTGGATTAAAAACGTATAAATTAAGACTAATTTACAACCAAAAAGATTTTTTTCTCATTTTCAAGGAAAACAGTACAAATGTTAATAGGAACATATTGTATCTTAAATGTAAATTTAATTTTAAGATGAAAATTTTCGAAACTTTGGGGTAGATGCATTCTACACCTTTTACATAGATAAATAGTATTACTTTTGCATATCCTACATTCTTTCACTATCATCTCTTTTTGTAATGTGGCCAATATTGTCGAATCTAGTTTCATCTAGTAAAGCAAATTTAGATTCACGTCCATGTACTAAGTTTGACACTGATGTAGCGGTTTCTTCACTATTCTAGATTATAAATATAAATCTATGTCGGCTCATGCTTTCTCTTATAATGTGCACTTCTTTATCCTCATCATTTGACCAATGCATATCAACTTGAAGCAGAGTGTGAACGAGATAATATACATATGCTAATATATTTTTTTAATCTATGTTATTCGTTTCAAAATCATGACGGTTATTCTGCGATGCATAAATATTTGTAAAATATAGAATGCTCTCAATTACTTTTTTATCAAAAAATAGTGAAAAAACTTCAATATATTACTTGCCTCCATGGTTGGCCTTTATGTATATTGTCTAAATATCAATCAGACTGATGTTGAATTACTGCTGAACACGAAGGATTATATGTTGAGACAAATTTGGATTTACTATTTTTGCCTGGTTTTTTCTTTGGACGTTTTATCTGTGGTTCAGAGGAATATCATAATCAGAATCGTCAGAATTCCCAATCACTTGTATTTCATATGTACCTGCAATATCCGATTTTATTGATTCTTCACAAATAATATTATCATCAATGTCTTCTACATCAGAAACTTTCTAATCTAATCTCGGCGGCAAATAAACCACATTAAGTGAGTCAGCATTTTCACAATCTGAGTCTTCTTCTAACAAAGCTATTAACTGTTTAGTAGTTAGTGCCATCTTCATTTCATTCGAGAATTTACTGAAATAAACAAATGCACTACTATATACACGCATTCACATGATAATAGTTTAGCTTACTTCATTTTAATTTATATGAACTTCATAATATATTTTTATATTTATATAAACCAATAAATACAAGTAAACTTTCAAATTAAGTTAAAAAAAAACAAATATAACGTTTACAGCACACAGAAATTCTATAAATAGAGAATGGTGTGTAATGACGAGATCGTATGTTAAAATTTCAGATTGTTTAGTGTAATGAAAAAATAAGTATTTTCCAAAGTTTTCTGTTTTTTGAAGTTCTGTATTAGGTACTCTCTAATAAGAATAAAATTTTACTTTAACTTGTTAGATAACTATAAGAAACCTGTCAAAAGACACATGATAATTTAATAATTATATGGGTCTTAGATTTAATTTAATTTAATTTAATTTTTTTTGGTATGCCTCTGCAAAATTGATAAGTGGAATATGATTTCGTTAAAAAGCTATCGTTAAGAGCTTCGTTAAGTGCGATGTTGCCAAGTAATCACCTTCAATTAAAAATTGTTTTAGTATACTACGCTCGATGCAATAACAATAACAATGACCATAAACAGAGACAGGAGACCGGTTTGTTTTATTCCTACTCTGTGACTTATGACTTATACCGAATATACATTTAAAATTTCATAAACATCGGTCAAGCCGTTTCGGTAGAGTATCGCAACTAACTCTGTGACGCTAATGTGACTATTCAAAAATAATGGTTGCTGATGGAAGGGTGAAAATTAAGAGTTTTATGTATTATTACATACCACACATATTACGTGTTTTTAAATATTGTGTGGAAAATGCACGGCTACTAAATTTATTTAATCTTTTAGGAGCAGCTTGTCACTTTGTCATGTGCTGCTAATGACACTAGTGCCTACGTTATTGCAAATTTGATTGAATCTATAAACAATAAGGAGTATTACCTAACCACCCTTGGGTTTGACAAAACCGGAACTATTGTTGTTAAGTAAGTATACTCATTTTATTTAATTTTTATTATAATTTATAGTGAATTTGTATAATGAAATTATGAACAGCTAATTTATAAAATAATTACCCAATAAATCTTGATTTAGGTTAGAGTAATATTCTTGATCAATAAGTGCTCCAGAAAATTAACGTTTCAGTTACGTGTCGTTAACAGTTTCAGTTTTTTAATGAATGATACCTTTTAGAAACTATATCCCTGCTGTTTTCGAGCAATATAGCCAATTTTTTATTTTTTTGTCGCCAAAATCTAATGTAGCCAGTTTGTACCGTAGCTCAGTCTGGTTATGCAATATGACCATAAATTATTGTTAAAAAAAACGTAAAGTAAAAATACGAGTACTTTTTCATCTATTCGTCATCTGGTAACCCCCACCTATGTCTTAAAAGCTTTACATATCTGCGAAAATATGCTCCACCTCTTTTTTTAAACCAGATTGGGCTACTGGCCCACCGCCCTCTTCTTAGTCTACTTAGTCTTTGTGTCCTGTATTGTACTATTCATTTTATTAATATTGACTTCCCTATTCGTTCTAGGTGTTCCATTCAGGTCTAGTGGTTTTAATTGCTTCATCTATTCTTGTTCATTTGTTTATGTTTTAAACTTTGCACTTACGTTGCTTTTTTGGGATTTTAAATACTTTCTCTGTTTTCTTGCATCGTAGAATGTTTCATATATGTGTAACATATGCATATTTTGCTTCCGAATTTCGATGTGAAAGACAAATTTCGTTGTAACGGAGCTCAAAAGTACACCTTTACCACTAGTGGATTCGTGTGAATATATTATCTTCTTCTTCTTCTTTCCTTCTGGTATGTAGGTTTTAAAGCCTGTTTTTTCTTTAATATTAGCCTCCTAAATTGTTTAAACTGTCGCACCATCTTTTTCTTGGTCTGCCAATACTTCTTCGTCCATTTGGTGACTTATCTCGTGCTATTCGTACTATTCTATCCTCTGCCATTCTACTGATATGTTCGTTCCACTTCTGCTTTCGTTTTGTCACCCATCCATTTATGTCTTCTATATTGTATGCTCTTCTTATGTGTTCGCTTTTCTCCCTATACAACAGGCTTCTCCCTGATATTCGTCGGAGTATTTTCATCTCTGTTGTTTCTAGCAGTCGTCTTGTTTTAGATGTGTCAGGTCTTGTCTCCGCCGTGTATGTGAATATAGGTCTAATTGCTGCTTTATAGATTCTTGTTTTTGTGTCTTGTCTTGGGTGTTTGTTCTTCCAGATTGTGTCATTAAGAGAACCCGCCGCTTTACTTGCTTGTAAGCTTTGTTGTCGTACTTCTTCTTCAACATCTCCGTAACTAGTTATATCTATTCCCAGATATCTAAACCTTGCTTCCTGCTTTATTACTTTCCCATCAATTTCGATTTTACACCGTAGTGGGTATTTAGATGTTGTCATACATTTGGTTTTTACTGCTGATATTATCGTATTTCTTAGCTGTTGTATTGAAGATATGTGTTAATCTTTGGAGCTCGTCTTCTGTCTCGGCGATTAATGCGGCGTCGTCTGCATAACATAATATTTGGATTTCTTTGTTCCCCATTCTGTAGCTATGACCTTTACGTACTGCTTGTAATATTTCGTCCATTATTATATTAAAGAGAAGTGGGCTCAACGAGTCACCCTGTCTGACTCCGCTTTGTACTGGTATACACTGTGTTAGTTTTATCCACCCTTTATCTTTGCCTGTGAATATATTATGAGTAGGAATATTTACATCTCGTCTAAATTACCACCGTGTTTTACGTATGAGCAAAACTGGATGAGAAATATAACTTTCATTTAACATGCAGGTATTGCACTATCAGTTAATCATATTTGATTGAACTTTTCGGTAATAACGCCCAGTGAGCACTTGAAAGAAAAGTGAAAAAACATTCACAAAAAAATATTAGCAATGAAAAATGTTTATTTAACAAGAATTTATGCACCTAACCGTCACATATTTATACTACGTACATGTTTCTTCTTCATAAACTTACGTATTCTTAAAATTATGTATTTATTTTAGATGTAGGAAGCACCATATTAGCAACAGCACCCAGTTCCAAACAGCTAAAGACCAAACACCGTGTACTTTTAATGCTAACATAAATAAGGACGTGGTTAAGTTTACTATTTTATTCGAAACAGATATGGTGTATCCCATTCCTGAAGCAATCAAAAGCGGAAATTTGATCATGAGTTCGGCGATAAATAATAAATTGCCCTTAGAATTTGGTAAGTAGTTTTGTAATGTACACGATAAAAAAATCATCCTTTGTTTTCACGAAAATATTGTCAATTCACAAGAAAATATAATTTCCACTCTACATTATTTTTTTAGCCCATACCAACATACTTATTGCAGTTACCATAACTCCTATATATAACTCATACATTGCCCGTACGCGGTAAATGTAATTTCCGATCCCCTCCACTCGCCACCTAGAGACTCCCAGACAGAAAACGTGAAAACCAAATCCATTTAGTAACATATAACAAGCAAGGGATATACAACTCGGTCCGTCAATTTTTGTTTTGCTTATAAACCCAGTTCATTTTTTATAACATAAACTCGATAAAATACACTGACGATTATAAGGCGGTGCGTTTGTATCGGCTTTTAATAATGTGAACAATTTTTTGTGGTTGAATTAAAAATAAAAGCGCATTTTTTAAAAAGATAAAACAAAAAATATACTCTTATTAAAAATAAAAAATAATTCCTAATAAAATAAGAAATAATTCTTTATGGACTACAGAAATGATTCAAATATTTGACCTTCTACGGCTGAACAGTAACCCAATCTGTCATAAAAACGTCTTCGGGCAGATGCCAGAATTTCCGCTGTAATAGAATTGAAGACTTCTCTTATTCGTATTGTTCTGAAGCTATTTTATTGTGGCATTTTAAATTAATTACTATTTAACTGTGAATAAGCCACAATTAAAGGTTAAAATACGTTTATTGACGTTTCAATTTCCACTTCGGAAAACGTTCTCAAAATACAAACAGTAAATTAAACAAATTTTGTTTTTTGTTACTTAGTGAAAAATTCTTCTAATAATTTAATTTTATCTGACTCATTTATATTGACAATTCAGACATACATTATCCATTTTAAAGTAGACAACTTTAAAATGATATTGCCAATATTGTTGAGTTGCGCTCCTGGGACGACTTTACTTATAAGATAATTCATTCGATTACATGAAATCAACTTTAACTTAAGAATATCCGTCAGAAAAAATCATAGCATGTAATTCGTCTTTAAAAAGACAAACACTTGCCATGATGACAGTAAAATTCTCCTGTTAGCGATTCCATAGTAAATTATGAGGGAAAACCAGGAAAAAAAACCTCATAATACTATCCCGACATGGTAAGTATTTGGTCGTGCATTTAGTTTACCTTCAATAAACACCAAATTCTGATTTTATATGTTTGTTATTTAAAAAACATAAAAGATGTATCCTCTGTATGTTACTGACTTACTAATACTGGTATTTTCTTATTAATAAACTCCTCTTTCAATATGGGTAATAAACGTGTTTTAACCTTTAATTGTGGCTTATTCCCAGTTAATTAGTAATTAATTCTCTTATTCGGCTTCTAATTCATCAAATTTTGGGCTCCAGCCTCAGGATTATCGTAGATGATACTTATTAAATGTCCCCAAAAAAAGAAGTCCATGGGTGTAAGATCTGGATATTGCACAGGCCACTTAATATCGCCTGTTCCACTGATAACTCGATTCGGGAAAGTATTGTTTAAATACTCCCTATTATTCGAGCGTTGTGGACTGAACATCCGTCTTGATGGGACCAAACATTCTCCAGAGTTACATCACGAAGATTGAGAATAGCGGGAAGAACATGATTCTGTAACAAATCGAGGTATACTCTACTATTCAAGTTGCCCTCATTAAAAAATGAATCTATTATGTGGTCTCCTAAAATGCCAGTCCAGACTTTAACTTTTTGAGGACATTGAGTTCGGTAAACAACACTTCTGTGATGGTTTTATCGCGCCCAATACCTCGCAACGGAAGGATTGTGCCTCTCTACTAAGGAAACAGAAGATTCATCAGTAAATAAAATGTTTTTAATAAAACTGGGTTCATACATTAGTCTTCGTTATTAGAGTTTCACTCTATTCTCAAGTGAGAAAGGCAATCAGCCGAAACTGCTGTAGTGATAAGTTAAAATAAATTTTGTGGAAGTTTGAAAACAAAGTTTTCAGTGTTTTATTGTTAGATAATTTATTTATAACGATCTTGGTCAAAATTCAAATCTTTGTGACCATTAATTTATAATATATAGTCGGGGACATTCATTAACACGTAAATGTTAATAAGTTAGTTAAGTTAGCAAATTCATTTAAGCAATCTAGATTTATCTGGTGAGTTACATCTTACATTATTTTTGTTTCAACTTTATCGGGTACTTTGGGTTGGACTCGCAACCCACCTAAACTCAATATTGTTTTTTCCAAACGAGTCAAGTGCTGCTTGTTTCTTGACTTATATACAGATGTACTTCTTCTATACTACATCTTATTTCTGGCAGAGTAAAAATAAATTTTTACAGTCTTACGGTTTAGTTTTTTCAAGTGTTACAATTAAAGTCGTACCTTACCCCCATGATGATTCTCAAAGTATAATAGATTCTCATAATTCTCGGATTGTTAGTATAATATTAATTACTCTTTTGTCACTTTTTTTATAGGTTTGAGTCTGTACCAAGGATTCGCTGTATCAAATGGTGTTAATTTATTAGTGTCAGATTACATAGATTACACAGAGAATAATTGTTATGGAGGCTCTGGTGTATTTTACAGTAACGGTACTAGTGTTATTGCTTTTAATCCAGAAGATGTTCCCGGAGGAAATGATCATCAGTCTGTTCTGATTCGAGACGTTCCTGTGAAGCCTTCTGTAGTACAAGAGGTCAATGTAAGTACAAGATTACAATAATTAGAAAATATATCATGCTGTTGTGATAGTTGTTCAAACGGAACAACATTAAAAGAGAATCATACAAAGCATTACGTTTTTATAGAGTTTATAGAATAAAGTTAAATATAAATGTAGCAAATTATTTTATATAATCTATACAGGGTGATCACCTTTGCCGAATCTAAAAGAAGACGCCAGAGCTCTTACTACAGAACCACTTCGTAGGTTCAACAATTATTGATGAGTAGACTCAGGCTAAAAACCTAGAACGACCTAAACATCCTAAGAAAGAAGACTGGGAATTCTCTGCAATAAACATCAAACCGGAGAATGTAAACCACGTTGCTCCATGTAAATCTCCAGAGGATTAAATATTTCCTGCCCTACTACAAAAAGGATAGGACGTCTTCTTGCCCATCCTAACAAAGATCTTTAGGGCTAGCATAGCATTAGGTTCTGTACCGAAGAGTTGGCAACTTTAAATATGGTACATACACAAAATAGGATGACAAGACAACGCCCTACCAAGATCCTACAGGTAGATCAGTCTTACATCATTTCTATTGAAGACAATAGAAAAAACTTTTGATAAACATATTAAGGAGGCCATTGAGGGATCGTCTTCTCGATGGCAACTAGCATGCATACCAAGAAGGAAAATCAATAGAAGCAGCGCTGTACGAAGTAGTTCAGAAAATTAGTCACTCCGTTAATAATGGAGAGATTTTAATAGCTACCTTTCTAGATATAGAAGGCGCATTTAATAATGCACTAGTAAATTATCTTTATAATGCAGCATCATAAAAATGGATATCCTTTACCGTAGGCAACTGGATCAAAGCAATGCTGAAAAGTATTCTGATTCTAATAGTCCTGCAATAAGAAGAGATTCTGTACAAAACAACTAAGGGTGCTCACAGGGGAGAGTGCTTTCCCCCCTTCTGTGGTCACTCCTGGTGAATGACTTGATCTCGCCCCTTCGCGCACAGGGGCGAGAACACACTCCAAAGAACATTAAATATTCTTACTAGGAGGTGCGATAGGAAAAGACTCTGTCAATCCTAGTAAAACAGAATTAGTTCAAGTCACTTCAAACGAGCAAGTGATTGCGATAATAGATAAGTTAATCAAGAAAAAATTGTGGATGACAGATGAGATCCTAAAGCTAATGGACGAAAGAAGAAAAGCTAAATATAACCCGGACTATAAATATATAAATCTAACCGATTGTGACGGAAACATAATCTTGGACAAACAGAGTAAAATAAAAACGTGGAAAGGATACATGATAATGAGCAAGAAATAGATAAGATAAGGCCAAATCTACATTAACCAATCTCCAGTAGAAAGAGTGAAGCATTACAACTACCTTTTCACCATAATTAATGAAGAATGAACCAATAACTGTTCTTTTTATGTTGTTAAATCGTGGACCTTGAACGAAGGTACGTACAAGAGATTGGAAACATTTGAGAAGTGGTTTTATCCGAGAATACTCAAGATCTCGCGGACCAAGGAAGAACCGAGAGATATTGAACACCATCAAATCTCTAAAGTTACAATACTTTGGAAAATGCGAAATGAATCCAGATATGCCCTCATAGAGACTATCCTACAGCGAAAAATATTTGGAAGGTGAGGTCCAAGAAGTAGAGATCCAAGAAGTAAAGAATCCCAGAACCTTGTTAAATATATTATTTGTGCAACTTTTCTATGTTTTTGCAGACACATCAAGAAGATAATATATGGAAGGCAAATACATACGCTGCAGAATGCGCGAGTTAAAGCTTTAGATACGGGAGATCACATGGACTTAGTTTCACGTGTACTATTGTAGATCACAGGTGGAAATGTGTTCCATATCGATGGAGAAACACAGAAAATGTTATGTACACTTCCAAGCTCGCCTTTGAAGCAGCAATAACCCTTGAAGAACGTTCCAAGACGACATGATGTATTTTTTTTCCGGATGAAAGACGCCAGAAGACTTTGTAGATAGCATTTGGCTTGAATGCTCTAAGCCAGTGATGTTCTCATTATTGGTTGAAAACTACTAAACGCTTGTAGTTAACATTTACATAACGTTCTAAAATAGACAGGTAGAGATCTCTTTACTGCTTAACGGATAAACCGTTTTAGATAACACTTGACCTATACCCAAGGCAACGGAATGACATTATCAAACAATAACATACTTGGTGAGAGGTGGACGAATACTTAATTATAGAGGACTTATGTGTCGAAAAACTATACAACTTCTGGTGGCTAGGCACATAAAATCACTTTACTCATAGTTACAAGCATGTGCATTTTTAATTGAAATTACTGATTTGCACAACAATTTAACTTTATTTATAAATGACAGTGCTATTTTGCAATGGATAAGTCGTAATGGATGTACTAGGTGTTCTCTTGTACTAGGTCTAAACTGCAAATTAATTTAATTGAATTAGCTTTTACAGAAAACTGGTATTAGTATGAATATGTATTACAGGTAAACGCTGCAAATGTTGGCCCGGCACCTAAATTTAATTTACCATTTATGAATATCAGTACACTAAATGAAACCGCCAAAGTATTGGAGAAATGTATTGATAAAAGATGTTGCAAGTTTAGCGTTGATTTTGGAGGAAATACCATAGCTCCATATAAGTAAGTTACTGTATATTCTTATATATCATATTTACAGAAAAAAAAAACTGATATAAATGAATATATTTCAAATATAACTTACGGTAATTTAATTATTGTAAAGCAATATTTATTTTTGCATTGTGTAAAGTGTTTTCTCTCGACTGCAATGTATGTTTATCTTAAAGGCATCTTCGGGATTATATTAAAATACCAAAAGTTATATCAAATCTAAAATGCATAAAAAATGTTCAGAATGTAATAAAAACAAAAACATAGACAAAATGGTTGACATGTGGTATTAAAACGGATGGTAATGTATTTACATCCATGACATAAACAAGGTGTTATTGGCTTTTAAATCGTTTCATGTCATTGTGTACTTTCAAATATTTTAACTTGACCATAGCACCAAGGATCATTCATGCTCTATCTCTTTCTACATGCCTGTTTGCCCTAATATATTTTCTTATTTAAAGGCATCTTTGCTACGGTTTCTCTAATTTACTGATAGCAGTTATGACTTCCTTCGATTTTTTACCTTCGTTTTAAAACTTCTTGTGATATCTGACTTTCTCCCAATCTTCTCATGTACCGTAAAATGTGGCGTAGTTGACCGTTTTTCAACTTCAATTAAAGATATTTCCTAGAGACCAAAATAAAATGTATCATATATTTTTGTATAATATGTGTATAAGTCTTAACTTTTAGTAGAAAAAACATCGGGTATTTTAAAAAAACGAAATAATAAATTCCTTGTTTGGTCAACTTCCTTTGTTAACTGCCTTTGGTTTTACTTAATAAAAATTATTTTTAGTTAACTGGGGTGAAGATAAGCACGCTAAAATGATTTTAAATTATAATAAACATTTTAATAAAAACTTTTTATTACAAAAAGAAAGTTAATTTAAAATTATATGCAGACAAGTCCAAAACAAAACACAGCTCGTCTCTTTGGCAAATTTTTGGCGAAATTAATACTTTTTTTATGTTACTTAGAGGAATATTGTCTTCGTCAAGAATATTAGGCCATATAAATTTTCACTATTTTGAGAGCATCTTTGAAATTTGTCTTACAAAATGTTTAATATTCTTCTTAGTTTGATGTTCTATTACAACCCATGAATTTGCTTCTATATCATTAATGTGAAAGTATTCTGTTTCCTCAGAAATATTTCTTTGAATGTATGAAACTTCATGGTCTTCTTGGTCAAAATTTTCATTCACGCTCTATGTTCCGGAATTTGCTTCATCGCTTTCTTCAAAAACTTTTTTCTCTATGTCTTGCTTGTAGAAGGCATGTTATCGTCAACAATTTCTTTCTCTGGACTGTCTACATACGCAACTGATCTCCCAGGTATAACATTCAGTTCCTTTCGTTTTATTGTAGGCTCACGATTTTTTGGGATTTCTCTGTTCTTTCAAATAATCTAATAGTACCTCTGATACATCAGCACTGTTTCGATGAGTGGTTTGCTTCTTACTAGGAATTTTGCTAAAAGTTTATCTTTAGAAAGAACAAATACAACAAGCATAAAACCCCTTTCTAGCGTTAACTGCAGCAGACGGTGCCATTTTCTCAAAAAGTTTTTTAATAATCTTGGAAACAAACTTTTCTCTACAGACGATGAGTTTGGATTGGCTTTCTTCCACTCGTGCAGTAATGGTTCTCAATCATTCTCATTGGTCCAAAGAAGCTAACGTCGAGGAGTTGGCAAAGATGCGTTGTATTTGGTGAAAGACAAATGAAGGCAATGTTATTATGTTTACATATATTGAGCACTTTTTTTGTAAAATGACTCGAAAGATTGTCTACTATTAAGACCTTCTTTCCTTTAATTAAACGAGCAAGGCAAAAATATAGTCTTAAACCAATCGGTAAAACAAATTGCCTCAAACCATCCATGATTAGATCGATTATAACGCGTACCTTTACTGCAGCATTTCTTTTCACAACATGGGGTGCCCCTAGGACCTCCTTGGCGCCAAGAATCCCACAATTCTGTAGCCTTATAAACTACATAAGGTGGTAATATATCTCCAGTTGCCGAAATACATAACATAATTGTCACAGCACTTTTAGTATACTTTATTATATTGTCTGAATTATTATTAATTTATTAATAATAATTTATTTAATAATACTAATTAAATATTGCAGCAGTGTGGACACTTTCAAGTATTTTCTTAATTCCTCAAAAAAATTTGGTGCAATGATTAGTTTAGAGCACTCAACATAACCAAATACATTTTCCTCCTGGCACCGCGTCACAGTGTTGCCATATTTTTTTGTAAAATGTGTATATGAAGGTTTAAAATATAAGTTACTTTTACGAAATTATAATTTGTGTTATGAGAAGCTACAAGTTTTGAATAAGTATAAAACAGCATTCATAAATATTTTCTGTTACTTTAAATGCAGTTAAATATAGTAAATTATTTGACAGCACTTTCAACATCTTGTCTACAAGGATCTTATTATTAGGTGCGAATGGTCAGCCCCCTACAATGACACTTGTGAATCATAAATTGTAAATTTCCGAAGAAGTTTTTATTGTATATGCATTTATTTATTATCTTTAATTAAAATCTATGATTTTTTATATAATTTCAATGCATTTCTATTATATAGGGTAATTTAATTAATACTATTAATTTTTTGTATCATTTTAATTAATTTTATTGTATATGCATTTAATTATTATCTTTAATTTAATTAAAATCTAAGAATTTTTATATAATTTCAATTCATTTCTATAATATTATGTGAGAATATGAAAAAACTGAAGATATGGCAACTCTCACACCATTTAAGCTTCTGTTAAATGTCAGATATAAGTTTGGTTATGATGGGTGCCCAAAACTAATCATTGCACAAAATTTGTTAATGTTTCAGCATCGAGGGCAGCACGAGCTCTTTTTATGTTGTTGCTTAAGCGTTCACTTAAAGTTTGTTTATGTCTCTGTAGAAACCCCTTAGCCCAATCGTATCCAGGAAAATTATTTTTAAAGAGTGAGTTTTTACCAATACAGTCTAGGTAAGCTTTTGCAGTTAAACAAAGATCCAATGTATTTAATGGGAATCCCAATTCGCACAACTAATCACTGTATCCACAAAATCATCTTCTTCAACTTTGGTAAAAACAGTTTGACCACCATTTTGTATTTTTTCGATGCTGCATTAGCACTTATTTTTCCATTTAAAACTTCTGTTAAGCTCTTTTCAGCATTTCCGCTCTGTATTGTTCAGGAATTTTTGCACCATCCTTATGCTTATACACCCTCGGCATTTTACAAAGATATTGTCCATAAGTTTCTAATTATCTTTAAAATTATTTTAAGCCCAGCTCCAGTCCGCGTTTCAAACTAAATTAACAATGACATAATAAGCAGCGCCGATTCAATCTAGGTACGATTCAAGATCCTGCAAGTTTTGACCTGATGGACATCTTCACCCCGGCGGTCAACTTCGCCCCAAATTCAAGCGAAAAGTGCATAAATTGACAAATTTTAAGATTATAACGAAACTTAAAAACTTATTCAAAATTATTAACTGGTATTTTTATCTACATTTAATGATTCGTTGAAGTTTTACCAACAGTTGCCAATAATATTTTTAGTATAATGATTTTTATATCAAAGTTTAAGAATATTAATTTTCTTATAAATTAAGTTCTACAAGTTAAGTTATTTAAGTATATACAAAAAAAGAACTCTTAATTTTTACGTAAAATATGTTCAACATCCATTTACAATGAACATAGTTAGCATAAACTTTACTAATATTAATAACAAAAAAAAAATACGCATGTTGGAAACATTTTCAAACTTTTCAGACAAGAATTCACCCCAGCGGTCAACTACACCCCATTTTACGGTACCCATACCGCAATCATGGTTTTTTTGCTCATGTAATTGAGCGATGTCTGAAGATCCATTTTTCCTTATCGTTTCATTTCTGATTCTATTTTCTTCTTTTAATCTGAGGTTCCTCTGTGGTTATTGTTAGTTGTTGCCCTGGAAACCAGCAGGGCCTTCTAACTCTAATGCCACAAATTGGTCGCATTGCTCCTGTAGTGACCCTTTCACAAGATAACATGCTCCTTTTCTAACTTGGATGCACCGTACTGAAGACAACCAATAGTCAGAAATAGAAATAGTCAGTATATACGGTTGCCTTCCATCGATATACCTATTTTATACCTACCTTCATAGCAGCTTCCATGTTTGCCATAAATCCTACGATACGTTCATAACGCATCATTTATTGGTGTAGTGGTGTTATTGGCGAGGTGCGCATTATTCTACCTAAGTTTTCGATCAGCGATAACTCAGAGATACTTACTCGTCCGAGAATGATAGTGTTGCTACGTTGTAACCGTTTCAAAAGTTTTAGAAAATTCGTTATAAATTTGATTATTTTTTTTTTAAATAAAACTACTAACTCCACCTATCTGCCAGGTGCTTGTATTCGACTCAAGGTTTCTACGGTAATTCTCAACATATCCGATAGACGAGAACGATATTAACGTCAATCACGCCCCCAATTCAAAACCGTTGAAATAGCGTCGCTTCCTTTTCTGTTACAAACGTTCACCCGATAGGACGTGTTTTAGAAGTGAGTCTCTAGGTTAGAGACTCTTTCCGGGAGGTTAAAGTTCATTGATTATGTTAAGTTAACTGAGACAGTTTCCTATGGTCCAATACTTCCCTATATATGGTTTCCAATAATTACTTATAATATAAATGGATTCCTATTAGTAAATATTTGATGAAATAACCAACGAATGAGAAGAAGCAGAGTATATCCCCTTTTTTCCTGGTTCCCAGAGATTGGATAAATAAGGTTGTACCTATTTTTTTTATTAAGCCCTATCAGGAACGCGAGAATTATTTATGGATTCACAGAGACAAGAATATAGTGAAATATTTTAAATTATGCCTAGTTAATAAATAGATTTAACTTTTCTATGTTGCCTAGTTAATAAATAACTACTATAATATTTTAAATGTAAACGAATTTCGAAATTTGGGAATAATATATAAATTCATTTGTTTTTATCAACCAATTCTTGATTTAAAAAGATAGAAAGTTGCTTTGTTTATAGTAATGTAATTATGAAATGGTATTTTAGTATCCTTTGGAAATAACATAACTTTTAATGTTTCTTTTTATTACTGAGAAATAATAAAGTGTAATTTCGCTGTAAATTTTTTTATATATCTTTTTTTTTATTCTCTCTCGTCCCCTACGAGGATAAACAAGGGGTGGCGTCCAATGATAAATTATAATTTCATGTTATCTAATTGTGTTTGAAATTTTGACGTACTACGTAGTTTTTTTGTGCATTTGACCTTACCACACCTTCTCTCCGTAATAGAGCTAACCTGACCTTGAATTAAATGTGTGTACTAGATGTTATCAAATATCGACGTTACAACGTTGATGGTCGGATTGTTAATTTCCTCTCATTAAGGATTAAAATAAGTGTCGTTTTATTAGGATTTTCTGGAAGTCCTTTCAGATACTAAATATTACTAGGTTTAATGCTCGTTCTGTAAAACATGTCTCAGTATAAGAATGCTCACGAATGTTTTTGTGAGTTTCATATTACTAGCTAAGGAAACTATAATCAGGTAGTTGTACTGTGCTGCGTATATTAACTCGATGACATGCAACGAGCCAATAGGAAGAATGTACGCTTACATTGATGACGCAAATATTAGCGTACTATATTTTTCTCAACATTAGATATTTCATTTATTTAATATAACTGTTTTTTGTTACTAGGTGGATTGCAGTATTAAATACAACCATTCTTGACCAATCTAGCAACGCTTTGATATGCGCTTTTGCCCTGCCGTCAGCTAATTTAGCTAATGCCCAAAGTTTTAAAAATATTTCGATATCCACCAACTTAGACAAGTCCGAAGTGCTTCTGTCCATACCCGTAGGATTGAATGATAAATTTTTACCATCGAATTTTTTCTATAACGCTGCTTCTCACTCGATCATGTCAACCTCCAACGATAAAATCGTCGTTTTGGGTTTAATAGAAGTTTTGGGAGGAACGCCTACTCCATCCGGAGGTGGTAACACAGCTTTAATAGTAGTTATAGTTTTGCTTGTGTTAGTTTTAGTAGGTTTATTGGTGGCCTATTTCATCTGGAGAAAGAGGCAAGAGAAAAATAGGCGAAACTTTTAAATTAATTTACTGATAAGAATGTTTCACACGGTACACAGAATAAAATAAGATGTCTTTTAAGCCAAAGAGCAGAGTGCGTATCTCTCGTATTTAAAACTGAGAATAGTATATATATATATATATATATATATATATATATATATATATATATATATATATATATATATATAAATGAAATATATTTTTTAATGTACTGATTTAAAGTAGTAGATATAACTTGTGGCTACAAATTAATACCAAGAAAACTCTAACAGCAAACAAACACAATTATGTTTTACCATAAATCAAAATTTTTTTTCATTTTTCGTTTTTTATGTGCCATATCAGAACTATACGTTTGCGATTCCCACAACGAAGATTTTTGCTATAAATAAAAGTTATTCTTTGAATGTATTTCAGCCTCATCTCAAATGTTTTCCAGTATTAAGAAATTATTTTCATTCCATTCCCCCTCGACTTCCTATTTTAAATTATTTTTATCCCATTCTCCCTCTACTTCCTAATTTTAGTTTAGGAATCACTGGTATTATTTGGAGACTGGTACATTCTCACGTCGATTTGGTTACGGTTGTAGAAGTATTACCTCTCAAAGAGATGATCTTTTATTGTGATGGAACTTTTAAGAAATCGCCATTACAATGCAATTGCTACAAGAAACCGTCTGCAGGAGGTTCGAAATGTAAATGTAAGTGAAAGAACGGCTAGAAGACGCCTTAATGAAAGGACTATTAGCAAGAAGGCCGGCCATTGTTCTCGCATTACAATCCAGACACTGTAGGAATCGATTAATTTCTGCTCGACATCAACACTGGGATATACACGATTGGTGCCGAATTATCTTTACATAGATAAATCGCGGTTCTGTTTAAAGTCTGGCGATGACCGAGAGTGGGTTTGAACACGGAGAAATGGGAGATATTAGCTTGTATCTTCCAGAGAAGAATGTTTGGCAATGGTGCTGTCATGGTTTGGACTGGAATCTCATTTGAAGCTCGAACGGAACTTATTTTCATCAATGACCCCTGAATGCTAACCGGTATATAAAGGATATTATGGCAGAAGCAGTAATTCCAGTTGGTCCATTTATTGGGGACAATTGCGTCTTTATGCTTGATAATGCACGGCCGCATGGCGCATACTGCAAGAATGGTGACAAATTACTTAGAGAGAGTAGGAATTAATACTAATACTTTAGAATGGCCAGTCTGCACCCCTGATCTGAATATCATCGAACTTTCCTCTCCGTACCTCTCCCTTCCTCTCCCTTCCAAATCGTATGCAAACGGTTATTGATGTTTTATGGCATAATACCCGATATTAGACAATTATGTTCAAGTTCACTCGTAATTTTTATTGTTTGTAATTTGTATTTTCTTTGGTAGCCTTCTAATTAAATAAATTATGCTAAGGAATCAATGAGTAATGGTCATTTTTTGTTTTAAAAATTAAAGATGTTAAGTATACAATATAAAATTTATTTTCGGAAATTTATAGGTTGTCCACTTTTTTTACCGGTCAGTGTATATGACCTAAGCAAGATATTTTTCTATATTCAACATTCTTAAATAAATCTCTACTCAAAACTTCATCATCTTAGTTACTGTGACTGCGCCAAGTACTTTTAAGGTCCGTGTACATATCTACATTTTTAATGCTTTAATTCGATTCATTGCTGCTACTTTTAGTGTCTACTTCAGATTATAGTTTATACCACCCTAATGCTTAGTAAGTATTTCTCTTAGCTTATTAAAATCGTTTTTCTAAAGTTTAAGATCCAGTTTGTACTGCAAATATAATGATTAAGTGCCTTCGCTTGTATGCAAACTAGCCTTGTGTTGTAAGTCTACTTGTGTGGAAAATGTAATGATAATATGATTTGAAACAGATAGGGATTATAAATAAAATAAAGAGACTGAAGTAGCAATGGTTGGGACCAGATGTAGAGAAACAGGACACAAGGCTGAAATTGACTTAATAGAGGCTGCGTATACCAACAAAAATAACATACGCCACAAAAGAGGTAGGAAAAAAAAATTACATAACATTGTTTTCTATTTGAAAAGTATTAGATTGTGGAAATTGTAAAGTTTTCGGAGGAAGTTGCAAAATGTTCTTACAGAAAGTATTGTTAAGACTAATTCATTTCATTTTTTAATATAAATAAAAATTTACTAAAAGTGCATAAATATCTTATTGGTAATATTCTGTGTACACGTGCTAAAACAGATAAAAGGCTTATAAAATGGTGAATGATTGCCAGTGATTGATAAGTGCTATATACATATACGCATATATAATTTATATAAATATATATATATATATATATATATATATATATATATATATATATATATATATATATATATATATATATATATATAATTATGGTCCGAAACTTTGATCTTTTAATTAAGTAATTAATTGCAAGTATAAGATGTTAAGTTAGAAGGTTATAAATTTTTTTACTAAATGAAATATACATAAAATGTATGATCTCCAGAACGATAACATATGTGACATTATTAAAAAACAAAATAATTACTTTGTGGGATGAGGCATCATGTTGTACTCGCTTCAGTGTGATGTCAGTTGTACATTAAAAAATTGTTTGCATATTCCACCAAATGAAGATGTATAATCGGTTAGTAATCTGTGGATTTCTAACCTACACTTTTCCGGCTACCAGGTATCCCTTTCTTACCTGTCAATATCACTGTCATTGATATAAATGTCAAAATAATTTGTCGTATTATAATAAACAATAATAAAGATATTATTATTTGTAACTCAATAATTAATTGCAGACTGTCAGTAAAATACTATACATATATCGAAGGAACTCATACCAACATCATGTCTGTATAAATAATTTACTTTGACGTTCAGTTTTAATTGAGTAGTTCCTCGCTTTGTTTGTAATAAACTGTTTTGAAAATAATTCACAGCTTTATATATGATTAAATTTGTGCATTTTTGTTGAACAATTGAACATAATTGAACAAATACAAACCAACAACGTCTCGAGATCATTGAATCATTTGAATAATAAATATTACTATTTTTTTGTTGTTTTTATTTATTTTTATGTTAAAAATGTAATAAAGGTTCAACAATTACAAATAAATATTTATTTAACCAATTCTAACAATTATAATGAAAAAGGTTAAACACAAATAAAATTTATTTAATAATAAGGGTTACAATTAAAACTAGTGTTTAATTAAGTTTTGTATATTTATTGTTACAATTTGTTACGTAATAGAAGTTACGGATGACACACATAATTTTCTACACACTAAAAAATGTTTTTTCGATTTTTGCTCTACAATATTCTATAACAATTATTTTGCCTGTTTGAGCTTATTTCACTTGTCATCCATAACTTCGATGCAAATAGTAGAAATTAAGTTTTTACTTTTGCAATTGTCATTAGCCTTTCTTTGTTTCCAATCGTATTGGTGCAAAACATAATTGTGAGCTTGATAGTCTTGGTAGCCTTAATTCAAGTACGTTATTCCCCTCAGAGTATAAATTTTGTTGGGTAGTAATATTTTGTTGGTACATATTCAGGAGAATAGTCAAAAGAACAACAGTAATTACGGATGGATAGAAAGTTCAAGTGCATCTAAATTTTTTTGGAAAATTCTAACTACCTACGAACATGATACCAGCTGCTTATTTTATAGGAAAAAACACAAATACAAGCAATTAAACAAGCAAATAGACCAATTACTTAATGAAGCAAAAGAGATATGGTTAGCGAATAGATGTAAAGAAGTAGAAGACGCCAGGCTTAACATAAAGACAGAAATAACACAAGAAAATTAAAGAGGTCTCAGGCCTGTGGAAAACGAATCACCGGTCAATAATAACTGATAAAATCGATGAAATAGAGTTAGATGACGATAAACAAAAACAAAATTGGAAAGATACCTTATGAAATTATTTGGGGATGACCTCCCCTCAGAGGTAACCAAAATCTGACATGCTTCTTTAATCGTGTGTTTTTCAAAGCACCACTCTTTGAATACGCGTCTGTGGGTAGCTTATGACAACGTAACAGACGAAAACAGCTAATAACTTCAAAAATTCACCGATATACCCAAAACCTTGTGTTAGAATATTGATCAACTAAAATTTATGATGTACTTATGACTATACCTATTTATAACAATTTTTGATGGATTTTATGTACTTGTATTTTACGTACTGTATAAAAAAACAAAAGTACCACCCGTTTTACTTCACCTCTTCAATTCTATACCAGAAAACGACGAACACAAGAAATAAATGAAAATTAATATTTTTTTCTTGAAAAATGTAATCTGCCATAGCTGTAATGTTTTAAAGGTCTGAATTTATGTACTAATAATTATCCGATCTGATTTTATAAGTTTGTTCGTTAAGCTCTTACTGCTGAATATTATTAGAAATTTATAAGCGTTTTCTAAACTAACCTAATATTTGTCTGTATTTTCAACTATGTTTTTTTTATATTATTTGAAAGTGGGAATGTAGAATTTAATTTATATAATTGTAAATATGTTCTAAAGTAGCAAAAAATGTGCTATCGAATCTTCTTTTATTATACTATATCTTATTGGCATTAGCTTATTTGTTATTTTGTGAATTAGGAGTTTGAAAAAGTCTGTTAGTACTATATGTTGTAACATATTAAATTCTAGAAATTGTCTTTTGACAATTTTTAAGGATTATTTTGAACTATATTTTAAGTTCATATTTTACGATATACTCATGGAGGAAAATAATCTATATTTACTTTATTAAAAAGGGAGAAGAAATGTCGATTTGCCATAAAAATCAAAACCACTATAGATAAATATAGCTTTTGATACACTTTCGAGCAAATAATCATCTCAACATGCATCATTATATTTCTATAAGTGTTTCCATATATTTAAAATTTGAAATAAAATTCTTGGAAAATTTTAAGAAGTAGTTTTTATTAAAGTCAAAGTATTATTGCTAAAGTTCTTTGC